ACGCACAGCATTTTTAGAGTACATGATTGTAAAACAACTCCTGCTTCTTCATCTGGCCATGAGTCTATATTGTATTAAGTCGTGTATCTTTGCTTCTATTTTTCTGATAGGTAAATTGATAAGGGTAAGAGGAATGAAGGGCATGGTGCACCAACACTGACCAGGCACTTTGTTATAATAGCTTCTATTACCTTTTATTACCTCTTATAACTTGTGAGTATTAAAAAGACCCTGGGGGGCGGTGGTGGCACTCGCCTTAATCCCAGCACTCGGGAGGCAGAGGCAGGCGGATTTCTGTGAGTTCGAGGCCGGCCTGGTATATAGAGCGAGTTGCAGGAAAGGCGCAAAGCTACACAGAGAAACCCTGTCTGGAAAAACCAAAAAAAAAAAAAAGAAGAAAAAAATCCACACGTTTATTTTTTTAGCCGGGCGGTGGTGGCGCACGCCTTTAATCCCAGCACTCGGGAGGCAGAGCCAGGCGGATCTCTGTGAGTTCGAGGCCAGCCTGGTCTCCAAAACGAGTTCCAGGAAAGGCGCAAAGCTACACAGAGAAACCCTGTCTCGAAAAACAAAAAAAAAAAAAACAAAAAACAAAACAAAACAAAAAAAAAAAGACCCTGGGAGAATGTCCTGTCTGACTTAGCACAAACTCTTGATATCTCTTAACAGTTCAAAAACAGGATTTTTGACTATTTTTTTTTGAGACAGGGTCTCTCTGTGGTAGCCCTGGCTATTCTAGAACTCGCTCTGTAGACCAGGCTGACTGAGAATTCGGAGATCCACCTGCCTCTGCCTCCTGGGTGCTGGCATTAAAGGCGTGTACCGCTATCTCTGGCTAGGACGAAGAATTTTAAGAAGAGTTCCCAAATTGAGCATCCAACCCTTAAGTTAAGGATGGCTCAACCACTGCCAGCTTCATTGTCTCCCTGCTTTCCCTAGCACTCAGGGTACCCTCATTCTGTCCCATGGTGAAGTTCTTGGGAATCTAGATATGTAACTTTTTAATGCAGTCCTTCCCATTTTATTTAATAAAATTAAAATTTAAATCCCATTTAAATTGATAGTAAACCAGATTTATAGAAATTGCCTAGATTAAAATAAAACAAAACATCGCTTCTTTTCCTTAGTTATGCTAGAAATAAAAATTGATCATTAATGGTCATAATGCTTTTAGATCATGGAATACTAAGTTTGGAGGTTTCAGCTGTAAGACAGAGTGAAGGTCATACCTCTTGGTTTTTAAATAGGACTCTGCTGTACTCACACTGATAATCATTGCTGTGTTGTGTCTGTAAACAGGTTCCCGGTATAAATTTACCTGTCAATCAGCTGACTTACTTCTTCGCTGCAGTCCTCATTAGTGGTGTTGTACATGAAATTGGACACGGTATAGCAGCTATTAGGTAATAAGATTTAACTTTCTCTTTTCCTACTACATGCAAAGAAGCTTTTCATTTAAGAAGATTCATTCCTCAAATCTGGTATATTTGAGGGTTTTTTTTCCCCTTTCGGTAGATATTACTCAATGTATGCCCTCCATTTATTATTTTGGGGCAGTGTCTCTTTTATAGAAAAAAAATTAATATATTGCTGATGTGTCCTTTTAATCATGTGATCATCTGTATTCTAACTCTTTCTGTCCTTTGCTTTATGCCAGCATGATTATAATCTCAGTGCTTCAGGGTTTTTATCTAGTCTTTTTTATTTTAAAATTATACTTATTTATCGTATATGTGTGCACACACATGCACATGCTGTGGCATGCTTGTGGAAGTCACAGAACAACCTGTGAAAGTTGCTGTGTTTCTTCTGCCATGTGGATCCCAGAATTCCAACAGGTCACAGGATTGGCAGAAAGCTCCCTTATCCACAGAACCACCTTGCTAACTGGTCCTCTAGTAGTCACTGAACTCTGGTCTCTGCCACTGCTCAGAATGTAGTCAGAAGGAAAGGTCTCTTTCGCCCAGGATAGCCTCAAACTCAGGGTCTTCCTGCCTCAGTCTCTGAAGTATTAGGAAAATAAGTGTGTGCCACTGTACCTGTTTCTACCTTATCAACTGAAACAGTTTCCTGTTTCTGTCCCTGTCTCATGTCGGCTAGAATAAAAAGTTGGCTAGAAGTGCTGGGTTCAATGATATCTAAGCCTACCTAGCAACCCAGGTGGAAGATAGAGGATGAGACCTAGGACTGACTTTGGGAGTCATGCTGTGTTGGTGGTTTTGACTACCCAAATGTATCTTTCTATTTACACCTAACTAATTAAGATGGGAAGAAGGCAAGGGTAGTCACTACTTCCCTGATACTCCATGGCAATTCCTGCCATAATCAGAAGCATGCTGACAGGTATGTTTTCTCTTTTGTATGTGTGGACCAGGGAAAAGGCAAATCACTATTCTAGAGGAGAAGATTAATCATTATTTTCCAGTTGCTTATGAACAGATCTAGCTTCTGATAATAGACATTCATCTTAACACAGCATGTTTGAACATATGTGCACACTACTGGTTTAAAGAGGCAGTGTATGTGAGTGTAGGGATGGGTGTATACATGTGTCATGTGTGGAGGTAGAGAACATTTTTCAGGAATTATTTCTCTTCCTACAGGTGGGTTCCTAGACTTGAACTCAGGTTATCAGGTTTGGTAGCAAGCAACTTTATTACTGAGCAATCTCACCAGCCCCGGTTACCTCTTATAAATTTCATTTTTCCTTCCATATGTTTAGCCCTGTAAACTTTAGGGTTTTACATTATTATTAATAGTTTCATAATTTACAGTATGTTTGTGAAACATATTGGAAAACTTTTAAAATATACTTTTATTTATTCTTTGAGAATTTCACATATGTGTATGATACATTTTGATCATATCCATCCCTTAGTCCTTGCCTCCAACTCCTCTCAGACCCCCACATCTCCTTCCCAAGTTCTCCCCGCACCACTTAGTAAGTAACCCACTAAGTTCAGTTAGTGCTACCTGTTACACGCATGGTTGTAGTGCCATCCACTGGAGCATTGGCAATCTCCCAGAAACCATCAACTGCCAATCACTCCTCGGCTGGGGAAAGTGCCTCATGAACTCCTCCCCCAGTCATGCTATGCTGTCGACTGGTTTGATCTTGTGGTCTTATGCAGGCAACCATAGCTGTTGTGAGTTCATGAGTGTACTGGCCAAGTTACATCAGGAAGATAGTTTGGCGGCAGTCCTTCCCAAACTCTGGTCTTACAGTCTTTCTGCCTCCTCTTCTCCAGTGTCTGCCTAAGCCTTGAGGGAAAGGGTGTACATATCAATGTCCCATTTACAGCTGAGCACTCATAGTCACTTATTTGCTGCACTTTGACCAGTTGTGAGTCTGTTTAACTGCCATCCATTGCAAAAATTAAATAGCACGAGTGTCTCTGATAATGGTTGAGAACAGCACTAATCTATGGATATAAAGATAATCAATGCTTTAGAAGGCAGTTTAATACTATATCTATTTAGCAAAACAATAATAGTAGATTCTTCCTTAGGGTCTGTGACTTCCTGTCATAGTCACTATTCTATTACTGTGAAGAGACCATGACCAATGCAACTTTTATAAAAGAAAGCATTTAGCTGGGGGCTTGCTTACAGTTTCGAGGTTTAGTCCATGATCCTTAATGGCAGGAAGCAGGAAGGCACACATGGCACTGGAGCAGTAGCTGAGAGCTCTGCTTTCTGATCTGCAGGCAGAGAGAAAGAGACTGGGCCTGACATGGACTTTTGAAACCTCAAAGCCCACCCCCAGTAACATACTTCCTCCAGCAAGGCCATACCTACTCCAACAAGGTCACACCTCTATCCCTTCTAATCGTTTCAAACTTCAACTCCCTGGTGACTAAGCATTCAAATATATGAGCTTATGGGTGCCATCCTCATTAAACCACCACACCTCCCCACATGTAGTGTTTTAGCCAGGTTTAGTAGTAGTAAGCATGAGTTCCCTCCTGTGGAACAGGCCTAAATCCAGTCAGAAAAGTGGTTGGTTATCCACAGAACAATCTTGGCAGGTTGGTTTGTTGTTATAGCTCACAAGGTTTACAGTCCTAGCAGACTGCACAGACGGTCTGCCACTATGAACTATGAATTATTTATAAATCTCATTACCAACAAAGAGTGAATCACATGGTTGTCTTGTGCATTTACTGTTAAGGTCGTACTTTCCTCATAGTACTTGTTTGGTCCTGTGAGACTATTAAATATATGTTTTTTAGAAATGAAATGGTGGGAAAACTACTCCTTTTAAGGACTATCTTACCTGAGTGCTGGGATTAAAGGCATGCGCCACCACTGCCTGGCACCATTAACTATTTTTAAATGCAGTCAACATTAGTTCAACAGAAATATACCTACATAAATCTTGAGGATTATTTATAATAACTAAGACAAATGTGTTTGAATCATATATTTGAGTTATTTATTCCCCCTTGTCCTTCTCTGAAAATAGTTTCTAGTACTTTGTATAAATTTCTATCATTGATTTCTCATAAAATTATTAGCTATATCTTTATATACATCAAGTTTCAATTATATAATCAACAATAGCAAAAGCCTAAAAATTTGGCATTTTAAGTATATTTCAGTGTTCTCTAGAGTCTAGGCCAAAACTTTATTATTTATTACACTATTTTAAAGTTATGATTATTACTTTTTATTTTATATGTTTTACTTATCCAGGGAGATTATTTTTTTAAAATTTGAATTACAATGAATTTTAAGATTACATCATTATGCCATTTGGTGGTGGCGCACGCCTTTAATCCTAGCACTCAGGAGGCAGAGCCAGGCGGATCTCTGTGAGTTCAAGGCCAGCATGGTCTACAGAGTGAGTTCCAGGAAAGGCGCAAAACTATACAGAGAAACCCTGTCTTGAAAAACCAAAAAAAAGATTACATCATTATTAACTTAACAAATACTATAATATCAGTAAATTTGTTTTTCTTACATGATTTCTTCCATGTTTTCTTAGGGAACAAGTTCGATTTAATGGCTTTGGAATTTTTCTCTTCATTATTTATCCTGGAGCATTTGTTGATCTGTTCACTGCCCATTTACAACTTATATCACCAGTCCAGCAGCTGAGGATATTCTGTGCAGGTAACAAATAGACTTCATTGTTTTTTAAAATGTTTCTGTGTTGTTTGGGTTTGGATTTTCTGTGCTTAGTGATTTTATTGAAAGTACTCTTATGAAAAATAACATTTGGTTAATAAATTTAGCTTCTTATACTACCTCAAAAACAAATTTGTTATACTACCTCAAAATCAAATTTGTTTTGTTTTGTTTTGTTTTTGCTTGTTTTTTGAGACAGGGTTTCACTGTGTTGAACAGCCTTGGCTGTCCTGGAACTCATTCTGTGGACCAGGCTGGCCTTGAACTCACAGAGATCCACCTGCTTCTCTATCCTGAGTGCTGGAATTAAAGGTGTGCGCCACCACCACCTGGCCAAAAGCAATTTTTTTAAACCAACATAAATTATTAAAAATTTAAATTAAAAGCAGAGGAAAAAACTTTATATTTACTAAAGCAAAGGAATGGTCAAAACCTGAAACCACAACATGAAGAATGTCAACTTAGCTGAAATATACAAAGAAATGTGCAAAAGTCAAGAGAGAACATGAAAAGTCAGTCACATGATAAATCCTAGTTCAAGAATGAAGAAAAGATGGTATGCAAGGATTGATGCTGAACTCTGGTACTGTTGGAGTTCAACCAGACAGAAAGACTCACCTGGAGGTATAGAACACATATATATATATATATATACTTTCAGTGCCATAGGGAAGCTTTGTTAAACAGACCCTTCCAAGGGTAATTTATTTCTCTACAAAAGCATGTCACTATCTGATTTAAAAACTTACTACTATTAATTAAGGGATCATAATATATATATATTTCACTGGTAGGGTGCTTGCCTAGCATCTATGAGGCCCTTGGTTTGATCTCCAGCAGTACAAAAAAGCCCTTAGTTTAAATTTAAAAAGTATTCCAAGTTTGTGGTGTTTAGAAAAATCTATCCAAAAATTAATCAAATATTGGAATATCAAAATATTCTATGCAAATAATAGAAAGTCAATAAGAAATACAATCTACCATGAGAACTAATAATTGTGATTTTTATTCTATGAAATACCAAATCAGAACACCAAGCAAAATGGGTAAAGTAGAAGGACAAATATAAATATAATATAATCATCTCATAACATGGAAGATAATTATAAAGTAAAACCATGGAATCTCATAATTAGTTATATAAAAATAGGTAAGTTCGATTGTATGTTATAAACACAGGAGTCAATTTCTTTTTAAATGCCCATGAAGTTGACAAACCAAAAATAAATCCATATATTCACAAATCTCAAATCTAAAGAATAATAGGAGAATTTAGAAATTTGTCTTAATCACACATTGGGTCCATTTTATTAAAAAACATAATAGCTTAATGATATGATAATTATGATTAATTATTTATAGATAATAATGAGATAATTTTACTAGATACACAGTATAAAGCTTTACTAAAAGAAAAATTCAATGCCATACACAGTTATTATAAAATTAGAAATGAAAATAAGTCAGTCAGGCAATCAACTTAAGACATATGAAGACAAGTATAAAATAGTTAAGAAATAATGGGATACGAGCTAGACAGATGGCTCAGAGGTTAAGAGAACTAGCTGCTCTTGCAGAGGACCTAGCTAGCTTAGGACCTTAGTTCCCAGCACCCACATGGTGGTTTACAGCCATCCTTAACTCCAGGGCCAGGGAATCTGATGAATCTTTAGACTTCCACAGACACCTGATTTGCATGTGGTGCATGTACATACATACAATGAAAATTATCACACATAATATAAAGAAGTATACATATACAGGGAAAATTATCACATATAAAGAAATAATGGGGTAATTAATAATGATACAATCAAAAAATAAGAAGTTACAGAAGAGCCAGAGTGTTAAACCCAAGAGTTATTTGGAAAAAATAAATAAAACATTAAACAACAGGGAGAAACAGCTATCGACAGAATTTATATTCAGATTGGTGAATAATATCTGATATACAGAAAATTATATGATTTTAGTGTTTTTGTTCATATCTAAAAGAAGTTTTCAGAAAATGAAGAAATATAAGAATGTGAAGATAGCTGAAATTAACTAAATAGGCTAGTTACAAGAGAAGAAATTACAAAAGTTGATAAAGAATTTCCCTAAAAGTTTTATAGGTAGAATAATAAAATGCTGAACAAAGGCCTGGTGGCGGTGGCGCATGCCTTTAATCCCAGCACTCAGGAGGCAGAACCAGGCGGATCTCTGTGAGTTCGAGGCCAGCCTGGTCTATAAAGCAAGATTCAGGACAGGCACCAAAACTACAAAGAGAAACCCTGTCTCGAAAAAAAAACAAAAACAAACAAACAAAAAAATCCTTAATAAATTTTTTTCTTAAAAAAGATTATAAAGTGTATGTATGCCTTGGTAGTCAAAAAATGTGTCATTTTAAACATTAAATAATTGCCAAATGTCATCATGGTAGTCCTTTTCCTTTGATATTATAGTACAATGCAGTTCTAATACCTAGTAAACAATGTTCATTTATACAGTAAATATTAGTTCACTGATAATGTTTATATTGAGGCAAATATTTAGATACACACAGCAGTTAGGATGTATTGTATAAAGTTAACATTACAAAGTACTATCATAATTCAGAAGTTTAAGTGACATGCATAGCACTCAGCAAATATTTTCAAAAGAGTTCAAGCATATTTTGTAGTTTTCTTCAGTTTTCATTCCATATATATGTATTTTATCAGAAGTAGAGTTAAAAAAAGAAAAGAAAATTTAGCATAAACTTTTTCAAATCATATACAGAAGGCAGCTAAGCTTTCTATTGTTTTGATTGTTGTAGTTGGATTTTTGTGGAGGGTTTGGGGTTTTTTGTTTTGTTCTTTGAGACATGGTCTCATTATGTAGTCCAAGCTGGTCTTGAATGCCAGTTCTTCCTGCCTCCACCTTCAGAGACTTGAGAGTGTAGACATATGCCCTCTAATACCTAGCAGAAATGAAGTTTTGTTTTGTTAAGAAAATACAGCACTGACAGATATTTTTTGTGGTAAAGCACAAAATGTGGTATATTTCAAGAAGGCAAGGATACTTTAACAGTACATTTTGAAAATGAAAATTTACTATCAGGGAAAATTTTCCTCATCTAAGATGTTAAGACTAAAACAAAATTAACATATATTAATATTTTTTAAATCATAGTAAAAGGAGTAGTTGGATATTTCATGTATGTACAAAGCCGGGTGGTGGTGGGCATGCATGACTTTAATCCCAGCACTTGGGAGACAGAGACAGGCAGATCTCTGTGAATTTGAGGCCAACCTGGTCTACAGAGTGAGTTCCAGGAAGCCGGGGCTACAAAGAGAAACCTTGTCTCGAAAAACCAAATAAATAAATTTTATATATATATTTTATATATTTATATATATATATATATACACACACACATATATATAGACAAGACAATCAAGTATTACTTATAGCACGTATATTAGTAAGTCTTGTGGTTAAATAAGGTATAATAAAGAATTATAAAGGGGCTGAGGTTATATAGCTCAGTGGTAGGGTGCTTGTATAATATGCAGACACAAAGTGTAAAATTAAAAAGGAATAGACTTGACGGATGGTGGTGGCACACGTCTTTAACCCCAGCACTCAGGAGGCAGAGGCAGTCGTATCTCTGTGAGTTCAAGGCCAGCCTGGTCTACAGAGCAAGATCCAGGACAGGCACCAAAGCTACACAGAGAAACCCTGTCTCAAAAAAAAAAAAAAAAAAAGAAAAACCAAGAAAAGAAAAGAAAGAAAGAAAGAGACTTTTCTTTTCTCCAGATCTGATATAAGCCTGTCTGAAGGGAGTTAAGAAAATCAACTGAAATAAAATAAGGAAACTTCAGAAAAGAACCTCCTAGAAGGGAAATTTATATTCATTTAGTAATTAATTAGGACAGCAGGAAAGCCAATGCAGGCTCCACAAGCCCTTCAGAGGTGCACTATCATTTAGGCAGATCATTTAGGCATGCGCAGGATATGCTTCCTGGATGGTCTGTCGCAGTGCAGTGACGTATTCAGTGGCACGTCCAGTGACGCATGCAGTGGCGTGTCCAACGCATGCGCATATCCTGCCGGAAACAGCACTTAACGCCTCAGACGACGGCCAGCTTTTCTCCGAAGCGCACGCTTTTCGTCGAGCTCTTGGGTTCGTTTTCTCTTGTTTTGTCGTTGTTGAGCTTTTGGGTTCGTTTTTTTCTTGTTGTTTTGTCGTTGTTGAGCTTTTGGGTTCGTTTTTTTCTTGTTTTGTCGTTGTTGAGGTCTTGGGTTCGTTTTTTCTTGTTTTGTCGTTGTCGAGCTCTTGGGTTCGTTTTTTCTTGTGTTGTCGTCGAGCTCTTGGGTTCGTTTTTTTTCGTTTTTTTCTTGTTGTTTTGTTGTTGTCGAGCTCTTGGGTTCGTTTTTTCCTGTTGTTTTGTCGTTGTCAAGCTCTTGGGTTTTTTTTTGTTGTTGTTTTTGTTTTTTGTCGTTTTGTCGTTGTAGTTTCTAAGCACGCTAGCGCGTGCTTTTCTTTCCTGATTTTTTTTCTACTCCACAGCAATCTCCCACCTGCTTGCTACCCAGTACTGCTACGTGGGTCTCAGCCATGGCCTCAGAGAAACTTATCTGTCTCACCTCAGAAAACGCAGAAATTCCCGATGATTTTGTGGAGCTTCAGCCACTCAATGTAGAAACGGTTTCTGTGGAAACCAGTGCAATTCAAACCATCGAATTGTACGAAGACGTAGATGTCGATTGGGCACATGGTGGCCACTACCACTCTCCTCTTATTGCTCTGCAGCCACTTGCGGGCAGTACCCTGAGTAATGGGGACCATGATCAGGAAATGGTCATCGTGCAGACACGAGAGGAGGTGGTGGGATACCAGGACTCAGACAACCTGCTAATCAGTGCTGAATTTGAAAGCCAGATGGTTGTTCCGGTTACTGATCAAGACGACTATCTCCAGCCGACCACTGCCTCTTTGTCAGGCTTCTTGGAGGCAGAGCATGGTCAAGATGAGCTCAGCCCCTATGAAGGGAATCTCTGTAGTTTGGCGACCATTATCGAGGCCAGCGCAGAAGAAGGCATGAACCCTGACATGGGCGACAAACAGTGGGAGCAGAAGCCGATAGAAATCGAAGCTCTTGCAGGAGAATTACCCTTTGCCATGTGGGAGGCTACTGAACAAGAAGATCCCATGGCCGAAGGGCAGGCTGGCGACTCACCTCCTGATTATTCCGAATACATGACGGGAAAGAAATTTCCTCCTGAAGGAATACCTGGCATTGACCTGTCTGATCCCAAACAGCTGGCAGAATTTACAAGCATGAAACCGAAAAAACCCAAAGGAGACTTCCCAAGACCTATTGCTTGCTCTCATAAAGGCTGCGAGAAGATGTTCAGGGATAACGCCGCCATGAAAAAGCATTTGCACATCCATGGGCCTAAAGGGCACATCTGTGCAGAATGTGGCAAAGCCTTTGTTGAGAGTTCGAAGCTGAAACGTCATCAGCTGGTTCACACTGGAGAGAAGCCCTACCAGTGTACCTTTGAAGGCTGTGGGAGACGCTTTTCCCTGGATTTCAATCTGCGCACTCATGTCCGAATTCATACTGGAGACAAGCCCTTCGTGTGCCCATTTGATGCCTGCAACAAGAAGTTCGCTCAGTCGACCAACTTGAAATCACATATTTTAACACATGTTAAGAGCAAGAATGACCATTAAAAAAAGTGAGAAGATCCTTCTGAAGCCTGGGAAGTATTTTACACTAATGTGCCTGGGAATAAATATGCCTCTTGTTTGAATAGTTCTAGAAAAGTTAGTGCAGATGAATTCTACATATCTGAGGTTTATCTTTTGATAGAGTAAAAGTTAAAAGTTTTATGTTGGTAAGATGCCCTATTTTGTGCTGCAGTGGGGTTTTTGTGAAGTTTGGTTTCAACAAGATAGACTAATTCACTAACCTCACATAGTTGCTGAGATGCCATGTGTTTTGTACTGATATTTTTTGAAGCTTGGTTTCAACAAGAGACTAATTCACAAAGCTCATATTGTTACTAAAGATGGCCTTTGTTATTTTGCACCGGACTTTTTGAGAAGTTTGGTTTCAACAGGAGACTAAATCATGAAACTCATATTGCTAAAATATCCTATCTTCTGCAGTGGTATTTTCATGAATGTAGTTTGAACAAGAGACTGTTTCACAAACTAGATATGCTAAAATGACCTGTTTTATTCTCCAGTGGTATTTTTATGAAACTTGCTTTCAACAGGAGGCTAACTCATAAACCACATTGTTTCTAAAGATGGCCTGTGTTATTTTGCTCTGAAGTGTTTTGAGAAGCTCGAATTCAGCAGGAGACTAAATCACAAGCCTCTTTGTTGCTAAGATGCTCTGTGTTTTCTGCCGGGTGATTTTTTTTTGTGGTTTGGTTCAACAGGAGACTACATCATAAACCTCATATTGCTAAGGTATCCTATCTTCTTCTGAAGTATTTTTTTGAAGTTTGGTTTTAACAAGAGACGATTTCATGACCTTTATATGCTAAAATGACTGCTTTATTCTGCAGTGGTGTTTTTATGAAACTTGCTTTCAACAGGAGACTAATTCATGAACCTCATATTACTAAGATGCCCTGTATTATTCTACAGTGGTGTTATTGTAAGTTGGTTTTGACAGGAGAAGAATTCATGCACCTTACAGCATAATGTTGTCAATATGCCCTGTTTTGTTCTGCAGTGGTGTTTTTGTGGTTTTGTTTCAACAGGAGACTAATTCATGAGCCCCGTATTCTCGATAAGATGCTCTGTCTTATTTTGCAATGGTGCTTTTGTGAAGTTTGGTTTTGGCAGGAGAATTACTCATAAAATTCATGTCAAATTACATTTCTTTATACAACTGTGTTAGAAATGGCACTTTTGCATTCTCATGAATAAGAAGTTTACTTACTACTTACGTTTTTTTAATTGTGTATTCCAAGTACTCATGTTTATACTTTTAGTAATTGTATATATGGTTTCTGTGGAGTTGATGTTTATAAGAGGTATTCTTTAAAACATGGGCAGGTTTTTTTTGGTTGTTTTTTTGTTTTGTTTTGTTTTGTTTTTTGTTTTTTCGAGACAGGGTTTCTCTGTAGCTTTGGAGCCTGTCCTGGACTAGCTCTGTAGACCAGGCTGGTCTCGAACTCACAGAGATCCACCTGCCTCTACCTCCTGAGTGCTGGGATTACAGGCGTGCACCACCACCGCCCGGCACATGGGCAGTTTTATACATACATATTATCCTGCTAAAGAAATGTTATAGGTTTGTTTACTGTCTTAATTTTGGCACTATTCCTTGATGTCAAGACATTTTGTGTAAGTTTCTCTTAGCCGTATTGTACAGTATAGAATATTAGATGATTTAGTCATATTAGCCAATTTAAGCATCTTTTAGTCACTTCATCCCCTCCCCTCATAGTACCTAAGGTGCTGTTGTTGAGTGTTATTTCTTTGATCAATTAAGAGTAGTGTTTGATTTTATAATATTTTGTCTTCAAATTGATTGCATGTTTGGTGTGTACTTTTGTGTGGTAGAAAAAAGCAAAAATAAAGTAACTGTTTGGAGAATTAAAAACTGCTTGCTTGTGTGAATGCGTTAGCTAGAAAATAAGGAAAGAGGAAAGTTGCTGCCATCAGGTCAGTAACAATCAGTAATGGTAATTCTAACAAAACATCTGATAGTGCACAGGACAGTCACCGGTGACAAAGAATTATCTAGCCAAACTGTCTTTTGTGTCACTATTAAGAAACCGTGCTCTGGAGAAAGCAAAAGTTGTATGAAGTATTTCAGAAGTATACTTATAAACAAAGCATTAATGGACAAGGAGTTGTTTAGATGAATGAAACATGTCTGCTTCACACACATCCATTCTCACCTTGCTATCATTGGCAAATTCAGAATTTAGAGGGTTAACAGTACCAGCTGCAAGCCTGGAAGACAGTTGGAAAGTATCCATAGGGTCAAGAAACTAGTGCTATTGTGTGACCCCACATTTGTTCACTCGCCCATGCCTGTTTCTGTTACTAGCAACTAATTCATACAGTATTATGAATTAGTTTGTTTGGAAGAAATTCTAGTGCATGAAATAAGGAGGGGGTTTCCTTGGTTTTGATTGTTCTGTTTGTCATAGCCCAGGCTGCCTTGAAATTCACAATGTGGTCCATGCTGGCCTGTAACTTGCAGCAATTCTTCCTTAGCTTCCCAAGTGCTGAGATTATAGGCATGACACACCATGTTTAGATTGACTTATCTTTATTTTTTAATATTCTGTCTGTTTAGTGAAGTTAGGAGAGAGGTGGGTGTGGCCATGTGCATGGTATGGCATGCATTCGAAGATCAGAAGACAACTTAAAGGAAATCTGTTGTCTTCTGCCATGTGGGTCTTGGGAATGGAACTGAGGTCATCAGGCTTGGCAGCAAGAACCTTTACCAATCTAGTGATAGAATTGGTCCCTTTTTATTTTATTTTATTTTTTTATTTTTTTTTGGTTTTTCGAGACAGGGTTTCTCTGTGTAGCTTTGCGCCTTTCCTGGAACTCGCTTTGGAGACCAGGCTGGCCTCGAACTCACAGAGATCCGCCTGGCTCTGCCTCCCGAGTGCTGGGATTAAAGGCGTGTGCCACCACCGCCCGGCTTATTTTATTTTTTTAATGAAGCTTTGAAAGTACTATAAGAAAGTGTGAGTATATTATTATAAAGTGGGAAAGATTTATTGCAGCAGAGCCAATGGACCATATTGGGTTTTTTGTTTGTTTGGGGTTTACTTGTTGCTGCTGTTTATTGGACCAGGGTTTGTTTCCCTATGTAGCCCAGGTTGGTCTCACTCATGATCCTCCCTGCTCTGTGGACTGTTATGTTGACTCCAAGACATCCATAGCCTTCCCTGGTTCAGTATTCCACTATTATTCTGTTTGTACCAAAAAGTGAATTGATCATATTAAAAAATAATTTACACTTAAAATAGGATGAGGTAGAATTCCCCCATATATATATATATATATATCTAGAGCTAAAAAACTGCATTTACAAAGTAGTTGATAAAAATATTCCTCTGGAAAGCCAGATGGTGGTGGCAGGCACCTTTAATACCAGCACTTGGTAGGCAGAGGCAGGTGAATCTCTGAGTTCGAGTCTAGCCTGGTCTACAGAGTGAGTTCCAGGACAGCCAGGGCTGTTACACAGAGAAACCCTGTCTCAAAAAAAATAATAATCCCCTATATTATACAAGGAGGGAGACAGACATGATGCATGGTTCGTCAGACTTTTGTACTTCAGAGGCTGGACTCCTGTTTCGGTTTCTTGGTTGTTTTTGTGCAGGTAGATCTTTAGTTTCTTGGTCAACCCCTTCAGCCTGTTTGTCCTTTGCTCCCCTCTTCCCTTTTGTTTGTACTTTTTTGTCTAATGAACCATAACCTCCCCTCTCCCACACTCATCCTTTGAGGCTTGGGGCAGGCCTTGGCAGAGTAATTGCCTGCCACCTAGTGGAGCAACGCTTGGGTTCTTTACCACAGCTGCAGGCGCGCCTTCCCAGAGCCCGCCTTCCCAGAGCCCGCCTTCCCAGAGGCCGCCTTCCCAGGGCCCGCCTTTCTAGAGCCCCGCCTTCCTAAAGCCCGCCTTTTTGGGGCCCCGCCTTTCTATGGCCCTGCCTTCCTAAAGCCTGCCTTTTTAGGGCCCCGCCTACCTAGAACCCGCCTTTCTAGGACCCCGCCTTCCTAAAGCCCGCCTTTTTAGGGCCCCGCCTTCCTAGAGCCCGCCTTTCTAGGGCTTTCTAGGGCCCCGCCTTCCTAGGGCCCCGCCTTTCTAAGGCCCTGCCTTCCTAGGGCCCTGCCTTCTAAGGCCCCGCCTTCATAGGGCTCGCCTTCCTAGAGCCCGCCTTTCTAGGGCTTTCTAGGGCCCCGCCTTCCTAGAGCCCGCCTTTCTAAGGCCCCGCCTTCCTAGGGCCCTGCCTTCCTACTAGAGCCCGCCTTCCTAGGGCCCCGCCTTCCTCTGAGGGCCCGCCTTCCTAGAGCCCGCCTTTCTAGGGCCCCGCCTTCCTCCGAGGGCCCGCCTTCCTAGAGCCCGCCTTTCTAGGGCCCTGCCTTCCTCCGAGGGCCCGCCTTCCTAGAGCCCGCCTTTCTAGGGCCCCGCCTTCCCACGGCCCCGCCTTCCTCCTAGAGCCCGCCTTTCTAGGGCCCCGCCTTTCTAGTGTTCGCTCTGCTCTTGCACATACATACTTAGGTACATAAACAGTTAAAGCAGGCTGTTTATCACAACGCTGGTAAAGTGATTGTTAATAAGGAGCTTGATAAGTAAATAGGTAGGTTTATGGACTGGAGAAATGGCTGAGCCCTTAAAAGCATATTCTCTTCTAGATAACCTGAGTTCAGTTCCCAGCACCCACATAGTGCAGCTTGCAACCGCCTGTGGTTCTAGCTTCAGGGGATCCCATATATCTGGCTTCCACAAGTTCACACACACATAATAATTAAAAGATTAGGGGAGGGAGGTTGAGACAGGGTTTATCTGTGTAACAGTCCTGACTGTCCTGGAACTAGCTCTGTAGACCAGGCTGGCCTCAAACTCATAAAGATCCACCTGCCTCTGCCTCCTGAGTACTGGGATTAAAGGCATGTGCCACCACTGCCCAACTAATGAAAAGATTTTTAATAATGAGTTTATAATAATTGCATTTGTACTAGATCTAAGACATGGGATTGATGAGATTGCTATAATTTTGATAGTTTTTCCATATTTGCTAACTATATTTGATAAATAATTTTATACTGAGGCATTGAGCCAACTCAGTGGATAAAGGCATTTGCTGCCAAGTCTCATGACCTGAGTTCAGTCACCAGGCCTCACATGGGAGAAGACAAAAACCTCTGACAAGTTGTACTTTGATTCCCATGTGTATGTATACTGTAGCACACATGAGCGTGCACACACTAAAATAATATAATTTAAAATTTTTTAAATACATTTTCAAAATCTTTAGGGGTTGGGGATTTAGCTCAGTGGTAGAGTGCTTGCCTAGCAAGCACAAGGCCCTGGGTTCGGTCCTCAGCTCTGAATTAAAAAAAAAATCTTTAAAAAAATTTTTATTATTGTGGGGGGGGTATGCAATGTATGCACAGGTGCAGTCACCCAAGCATGCACTTGAGGAGGTCAGAGACTGATGTCCACACCTTTCTCCCTCCTCCCCACCAGGTTTGGTGAGACAGTGTCTCTCATTGAACCTAGAGCTCATGGTTTTAGACTGGCTAGCCAGTGAGCCCCCAGGGTCTGCCTGTCTTCACCCCCAGTGCTGAAATTACAGATAGGTTCCTCTGTGCTCAGCTGTCATGCAGATTCTAGGGATCTCAGTTCGGATTCTTTGGGGGGGCGGGGGTTCTCTGTGTAGTTTTGGTGCCTGTTCTGGATCTCCCTCTGTAGACCAGGCTGGCCTCGAACTCACAGAAATCCTCCTGGCTCTGCCTCCCGAGTGCTGGGATTAAAGGCGTGCACCACCGCTGCCCTGCTTCAGTTTGGATTCTTATGCTTGCACAGCAAGTGTTTTACCTACTGAACCATTTCCCCAGCCCTAAGAATTTTGCTTTTTAATATCACCTTGACTTTGGTTTGTATATACTTGAGCTTTGTATCAAAGAACATGAGCATGTTTAAATTAAGAATGTATATGTATATTCTATAAAGAATGCATAGTTAGAAGGTGTTGGTTCTACTTATATTAAATCCTAATCTCGTAATGTCTTCATAATTATAGTATTATGTAAATTTCCGATTTTAGTATCTGAAATGAAGGCAGACTTAGTGAGCATATGTCTGCTGCAACAGGAAGTAGATCCTTCTGCCTCACAACTCCCGTTCTATTTATAATCTTATTGGAATGCCGTGTGTTATGAAGTCAAGCAAACTATATCGTTCTTGCTACTGTTGAACTTACTACTTTGATCCTCTCTCTTTGCAGGTATATGGCATAATTTTGTCCTTGCTCTCCTTGGGATTTTAGCTCTTGTTCTCCTCCCGATAATCCTCTTGCCATTTTACTATACTGGAGTTGGGGTACTTATCACTGAAGTCGCAGAGGTTAGTAATGGGTCACCTAGGGTGTGCTCTCACCAGATGCTCGCTTGTAATTTTCAAAATCCCTCCAGATGCAAACACAGTGTGGGGAAATATGTTGGATTTTTTTCTAATGTCATGAAAATTGTTTGATCCCCTGAAGCTGGAGTTGGAGGTGGTTGTAAGCTGCCTGACATGGATGCTGGGGACTGAACTCAGGTCCTCTGAAAGAGTAACAGTGCCCACAAAGTCTAGAAGAGTGTCTGGGATACCCAGGAGCTGGAATTAGAGCTTCTTGAGAGCCACCTTCCATGGGTACTGGGAACCGAACTCAGGTCCTTTGGAAGAACAGCTTAACTGCTGAGCCATCTCTCTTGAATTTTAATTAGCAGGTATTTTCTATGTGTTTATAATCGGTATTCAAGTGGGTGTGTGCATGTGTGTGTGTTGATGCGTATGGAGGCCAGAGATCGATATCAGGTGTTTTCCTTAATGCTCTCTCCTAATATTCATTTATTTATTGAGACAGAGTCTCACTATGTAGCCCTAGATGTCCTAAAACTCACAATGTAGAGTAGGCTAGCTTTGAACACTTATTTTTTTAAATTGTATCATTTTATGTGTATGGGAGTTTTGCCTACACACATACACACATATGAATGTGAATATGTGTACACACACACACACACACACACACACACACACACACACACACACAGACACATACCTCTCAGGTGCCTGCCTAGGTCCCGTGGAAGCCAGAAAAGGGTTTTGGATCCCCTGGAACTGGAGTTACAAACAGTTGTGAGCCACCATGTGGGTGCTGGGAATCAAACCCTGGGTTTCCTGGAAGAAAAACCAGTGCTCTATAACCACTAAGCCATCTCTCAAGGTCTCCTCCTTAATGTTTGAGACAGGGTCTCTCACTGAGCCTGGAGCTCACCCATTTGACTATGCTGGCTGGCCAGCAAGCCGCAGGGATCTTACTGTCTGCTTCCGCAGGTAGAAACCACTCTATGTTTTTGTGTGCGGGTGAGTTATGGGCATCCCAACTCAGGTCCTCTTGCTTGCACAGCAAGCACTTACCAACAGCTGCCTCCTCAGCTCCTGTTTCTGTTCATTCTGGTTTTCTTTTTCTTTTCTTTTCTTTTCTTTTCTTTTCTTTTATTGTGTTGTTCCCCTGAAGGCTTGCACAGATCTTTCTTTTCTTTTTTAAAATGTATTCATTTTGAGACAGGGTCTGACTGTGGAGCCCTCCGTTTTCCCAGTGCTGAGATTCCAGGTGTATGCCACCACACCCAGCTTATTTATTTATTTTTAGAATGACAGAATTTGTTTATATTTATTAGGTACACATTTATTCGGTTTTGGTTCTTTTTAATTTAAAAAATACTATTCTTTGACAAGTTCATATAATGTATTTGGTTATATTCACTCTTCCCCTTAACTCTTCCCAGATCTACCCCCACCTCCCTGTCACACCCCCCAAACTTCATGTCTTCTCCCCCCCACACACACTTCATAGTCTTGGTGAACAGAGGAATGCAATTAAAATTGTTTGACTATAAATTTTGGATTTAGAGATGGATTATTTTATGCATTATTCAAAATATACTACTTTGAAGAAAACTCTAAGCTGAATGGAAAGGAATGGGAGAGTGGAGAGGGTTGTTCGAGGGAGTTGAGGGAGGGGTGAATAAGTTCAAAATACGTTGTGTGAAATTCTCAAAGAACTAATAAAAATGTTAAAAAGTATTCTACTTTTAATTAGTGCAGTGTCTATTATTATGGTTAGTTTAGATTGATTATAGCTTGCTATTATACATTGCTTGATTTGATTTTCCTTCTTCCCAAGGATTCACCTGCCATTGGACCCCGAGGCCTTTTTGTGGGAGACCTTGTCACTCATCTTCAGGATTGCCCTGTTACTAACGTGCAAGATTGGAATGAATGTTTAGATACCATTGCATATGAGCCCCAAATTGGTTACTGTATAAGTGCATCAACGTTACAACAATTAAGCTTCCCAGTTAGAGGTGTGTGCATTTTCTCAATATAACATAATGCTTCAAGTACCAGTCCCTTCCATTACTAACCCTAAGACCTATTGATTTATTTTGTTCCAATTGTTTTAAAGCAAGCTATTAAAATAAACAGGCTCAAACTAATAGATATTCTTCTTGGTATGTTGGGTATTTGTTTCCTGTATTATATATTGTTGAACTTCTAATTTCTTTTATAATATTATATTTGACTTTTAGAACTCAGAACACTTTTGTTTGGGCTGAGTATGTAACTCAAGTGATAGAAGATTTGTATAACCTGTGCAAGGACCCGAGTTCCATCTCTAGTACCACAGAAAAATAATAATTTTAAAAATGTGTAAAATCAACTGGATGTGGTGGTGAACGCCTTTAATCCCAGCACTTGGGAGGCAGAGGCAGGAGGATCTCTGAGTTCAAAGCCAGCCTGGTCTACAGAGAGTGAGTTCCAGGACAGCTAGGGTACACAGAGAGAAACCCTGTCTCGCAATAAAAACAAACAAACAAAAATGTGTCAAATCAACATCCATGCTCAACAGTATGGACTCTGAGTGTGTAGCTCAGTAGTAGAGTGTTTGCCTGCCCTTGCATGAGGCCCAAGGTTCAATCCCCACTACAACCAAAACCAAAACCAAAAATCAAAACAACCATCAACTATAATTAATTAACCACATTTTAGTAAATACACCAGTGTAGTATATTTTCACATGTGTAGACACATAATTGTACCTAAATTTAAGTCTAAATTTTAAGCATTTAAAACATTTTTGAGATTATAATATACTTACATTTCTCCCTTCCCTTTTCTTCTCTCAAAACCATCCCATATACCCCTTCCCACTCTCCTTCAAATTCATGGCCTCTTTTTTCACTGTTATTGCATGAATAGATGTATACGTATATAATATATATTCTTAAATATAACCTGTTTGGTCCGTATAATGTTACATGCATGGTTTTAGTGCTGATCCTTCAGCACTGGACAACCTATTGATGAGCTCTTCCTGGGGAGATCATCTCTTCTGCTCCCAGCTATGTCTAATATTTTAAACATAATAAGAAACAATTCTTGCCAGAAGCATTGTTTTTTCCTTTGGTGCTAGATAAACACTGAGTTAAACCTGTATATGCTGTTGTATGATCAGATAAAGAACTAATAGCTAACAACCAAGGAAATAAGATCAACGCATAAGCATTCTTTTTTTGTTTGTTTGTTTTTTGAGACAGGGTTTCTCTGTGTAACAGCCCTAGCTGTCTTAGAACTCACTAGGTAGACCAGGCTGGCCTTGAAATCACAGAGATCCACCTGCTTCTGTGTCCTGAGTGCTGGGATTAAAGGAGTGCACCACCACCGCCTGGCTGCATAATAGTAATTCTGTAATAATACACAGACATGCAATAAGGAAAAATGAAAACAAATCCAAAGAAATTGGCAAAGGCAAAGCCCTCTGTACATTTAAAAGAGTCCCTTCCAAGGTGGTGGTACACTTGGGAAGCAGAGGCAGGTAGATCTCTTAAAAAAAAAAAAAGAATTCCTTCCTTTTTCTCACTAAAATATACCTAAACAGAAGCAGTTCTAGTAGCCATGTATGGATGCTAACATGTCCAGACCTATCTGGGGTAGTGTTCTTTAGTGTGTTTTGTTTAGCAGAAATGTAGGGAAAGTTGTCTCAACTTCCAAAAAGACCTGGGAAGTACATTTGTTGGCCTGTGCAGCAGGTGAGAAGGCTAAACTTATTTACCTCTGAAAAGGTCACCTCCCAGATTCTTTTCAGATTTAATCTCCCATATATCCATGAGCCTTTTATTATAAAACATTTTCTTTATTTCTACATTTATTTACTGTGTGCATATATGTGTGGGGGGGATACTGCTAATGTATGGAAGTCAGAGGACAACTTTGTGAAGTTGTTTCTCTCCTTCCGCCTTTCTGTGGGATCTAGGGATGAAACTCAGGCCATCAGTCTTGCGTAGTTGGGTGACAAGCGCTTTTACTCACTGAGCTATTGTTTTAATGTTAGGGTGTTACTATGCCTTCTAAATCTCTTCAGTTTATCTCAGTACCCCTTGTTTTGGAAATGTCATGTTTATTGAAACTGAGTCACTTGTTTTCTCAAACTTTACGTAGTCTTTTTCAAATTTAGAGGCTTGATTTGATTCAGGATTCTTTCCCTCTCTTCCCTTCTTGTCTATCTCTGTCTCTGTCTCTCGCTCTCCTTCCCTCCCTCCCTTTAAAGTATTTCATAGGTAATGCTCAGTGCTTTGTTTTGTATGGTATTGGGAGAAGTCCAGATGTCTGGTATTCTCTTGTTCACTAATACTAAGATTTTTTTTTTTTTTTTTTTTTAGTGACCAATCTGATTCTTTAAGGTTGAAACATTTGTCAGAGTCCCTTACTCCCAAATGGCCCTTTTTAGAAGTTGGTAGACAGGCCCTTCTTCACTATATACTTCAGAAAGAGCCTGGAGTTACTATCACAGAACTTAAATCTCACTCTAGCTTTAGCTTTATGGGTGGATCAGTTTATAGGGACACCTAACCTGGGGTAAGTGCAGCTGCTTTGTCTGCTTTTCGTTTATGTTTTGGACAAGGTCTCATGTAACCCAAGTTGGTCTTTAACTCAGTACTTAGTTGAAGATGAGCTTGAACTTCTGGTCTGCCTTCACCTTCTATGTGTTGGAATTATATGTGTGTGCCACCTTGCCTGGTTTATAGGATGCCAGGGATCAAACCCAGTCTTCCATGTGTGCTAGACAAACACTGAACCAACTGAGCTATACTAATGCCAACACCTGATTGTAGCTTTTCATTTCAAATTGGGTCTTTTTAATATTATAAAATTAAATTATAGCCAGTAGCTGTCAAGCTAGATACTGCATTATCAGTTGCTTCCAGATTTATATACCACTCTACTTACTGTTTTTGTCTTTAAAAAGCAGAATTTTTAACAAATTTACTTCTATGTAAATCGATTCT